CGCCATATTGATTGCATTAACTCGCAGAGGCTTCCTTTATTTAGCTCTTCCCATCACTCCTTGCGCGCTCACTTTTCCCTCACTAGAAACTTCATGTAAGCCTCTGCGGAGGAGAGAGCAGCACGGTATAGTGTACTGGCCCAGAAGGGTTGACAAATCTTTCACTGTCAGATCTATAGTGGTACGGTTCCGGTATACATTCCTACATTCTGTGTGAAGGTTTTGAAGATTCTCGCTTGGCACCGCATGCGTCATGTCTTTGGAGTTGATCAAGAAACCTAGAAATTCGATACACTGTGTTGGATCTTGTAAACATATCGCCAGTGACGGCAGCAAATATTATCTAGTACAACACTATAGTATTTTTCTGAAGTGCTTTGATGCACTCAGAATCAGGGTCCGGTATCTCTTCACCATCATCATCTGATGACCCTCCCCCCCCCGCCCCCATCACCAACTATAGTGATTACACGTCACTCACTAGTGGTCGAATTATATAAACCGCGGGGCCTGTTTAGTAGCGAGACTATCATCAAAGGCAAATAGGTCCTTTGTTCGGGAGACTCAATGGAATCGTTTAATATCATGATTCATCCCTATTGCATAACAGGGAGACTAGAATATTGGCTGTTCCTTTTAATGCCTGGGTACTGCTCCATCAAATTTGTCCAAACCTCTTTCGAGAATTTTTTGGTAAATGGTTCCAGCAATTTTTATTAGTAATTTTGAAGTGAAGAAACAATTTAACTTACCGTTTATAGCGAAGCTATTTCATGTACGTACGTTAGTGCCACATACATTTTCTAATGGTAGGATCTAAGTAATCAAATAGAGATTACCAAAATGGCAAAATCATTATCATTGGACATTACTGAAATTTCAAAACTGCAGTTGCAAAGAACTGTCCAGCTTATTCTTATCATGTAATCTGCAAAAATATAGGGGCTAACTCCAAAAATCGACTTGGAACTTTAGCAAGGCGGGGATGCAAAGTAATCTACTATACACCCCTGAATCAAATTTCCACCGGCATGAGACGAGAAGTGTGCGCACTAAGTACAAAGTACTATATATAGTTCAAAATATACATCTATATTTCTTTTTACTCTTTTAGGTGTTTCAGTGTCTTTTAATTGGAGGTGAAAATACCGGCGAGGATGCGTTAAGAGATGCTAAAGAATTTGTTACTTCTGATGAGGAATTTCAGTCATTTATATCACGTCATGGCAACATTGGATGTCTCGTTCCTGAATCAAATGAAAAGGTGTGTCTTCTATGTGTCAGTAACTGCAGCTAAATGTTCTATAGTACTAACTTATAGCGCACTAATCATCTGTTACGACCCTAGGGGCTTACTTATTTCAGGCATGTTTTATTCTATCAGGTATATAGGTATAACACGGTCAACTCAAATATTACATGGCGCAGACTCTCTTCAACAATTAACTTATTTTGGAGGAAGTATTAATATGACATAGCGCTGATTAAAACATGCAGGTCAAGCTTATAAGCATCACCAAAACCGAATTCATGGTTATAGGTTCACGTCAAAGACTTGCAACCTTTGATAACTATGATGTAAATGTGTATGTCAATAACGAGCAAATTAATAGAGTTGATAGCTCTAAATAATTCGGCTTAATAATTGATGAAAACTTGTCTTGGAAGAATCATATTGACAATATTGCGCAAAATTTATTCGGGTATCAGTGCCCTCAAACGAGTGAGAGGTTTCTTTTGCAGGCAAACTAAGATCAGAGTTTATCAAGGTTTCCCTATATATTTTCCTAATAAACTGAGCGAAACACTACAAAAATTGTAGCAGGGCATTTTTTAACTATATAACTGGGGGGGGCAAAGCCCCCCCCCAGCCCCCACGGTGCCCCCCCCTCCCCGCCACTCAACCATTTT